GGCAGGAGGAAGGAAATAATAATACATAGAGCAGAAATTAACAAGATAGAAGCCCCCCTCCCCAAATCAATGAAATCAGGAGCTGATTCTTTAAGAAAATAAACAAGATTGATAAGCCTCTAGAAAGATTCACAAAGAAAGGGAGAGAGAAAACCACAGTAAACAGAATCAGAAACAAAAAGGCAGACATCACAACGAAAATTACAGAAATTCAAAAGATCATCAGAGATTATTTTGAGAATCTTTATGCCATGGAACAAGAAAACCTCAAGGAAATGGCTAAATTTCTGCATTCCTATAGCCTTCTGAAGCAGAACCAAGAAGACCTGGAGTACCTGAACACCTCTGTCACCATCAAGAAAGTTGAAATGGTAATAAAAATTGTTCCCCCAAAACAAATGTCCTGGCCCAAATGGATTCACAAGTGAATTCTTTCAAATCTTTAAAGAGAACTTACTCCCAATGCTTTTTAAGCTTTTGCAGGAAATTGAAGAATCAGAAACACTTCCAAACAGTTTCTATGAAGCAAATATCACTCTGATACCAAAAGCACAGAGATACCACAAAGAAAGAGAATTATAGTTCAATATCTCTGAAAACACAGAGGCAAAGATCCTCAACAAAATCCTAGCAAACAGAATCCAATGACTCATAAAAGAGATCATACGCCATGATCAAGTAGGATCCTTCCCAGGGATGAAAGGATGGTTTAACATTCGCAAGTCAATCAATATAATCCATCATATCAATAAAAGAAAAGATAAAAGCCATATGATCATGTCAATAGACGCAGAGAAACCTTTGACAAGATTCAGCACCCATTTATGATGAAAATGCCCAACAAAACGGGCATTGAAGGAACTTTCCTCAATATAGTCAAAGCCATCTACCACAAACCCATGGCAAGCATCATTCTCAATGGGTAGAAACTAAAAGCCTTCCCTCTAAGATCTGGGACAAGACAAGGTTTCCTGCTCTCAACCATTCCTATTTTATATGGTACTGAAAGTTCTTGCCATAGCAGTTAGGCAAGAATAAGGTATCAAGGGCATACAGATAGAAAAGGAAGAGGTCAAACTATGACTATTTGTGGATATAATACTATACTTCGAAAATCCTAAAAACTATACAAAAAAGTTCCTAGAAACAATAAGTTTGTATAGTAAAATGGCAGGCTACAAAATCAACACCCAAAAGTTCATGGCCTTCCTATATGCAATAATGAAAGAGAAGAGATATTTTTAAAAAATCCTGCTCACAATAATGCCTCAGAAAATCAAATGCCTCAGAGTCAACTTAACTAAAGAGGTGAAGAACTTATACAAAAAAACCTACAAAACAATACTTTAAGAAATAAAAAAGGATACTAGGAAATGGAGACATATTCCCTGCTCATGGATAGGGAGGATTAACATTATCAAAATGGCAATACTCCCCAAAGCATTCTACAGATTTAATGTGGTCCCTATCAGGATACCCATGACATTCTTCAAAGAAATAGACAAAAAACTCCTGAAAATCATATGAAAGAATAAATTCCACAAATAGCTAAAGCAATGGGTGGCATCACCTTCCCCAACTTTAAACTGTACGGCAAAGCAGTAGTAATTAAAACAGTAGTAAATAAAACAGCAGGACTAGAATCAGACCCGCAGACCAATGAAACAAAGGTAAATATTCAGTCATAGACTCAAATATATGATCACTTAATCTTTGATAAAAGAGCAAGGAATGTGCAGTGAAACAAGGAAAGCCTCTTCAACAAGTGGTGCTGGGAAAACTGGACAGCTACCTGCAAAAAAAAAAATGAACTCTGACCTCTGTCATAATGCCAGACACAAGAGTCAGTTCAAAGGGGATTAAAGACCTCAATATCAGACCTGAATCCAAAAAGTACATGGATGAAAATGTAGTCAGAACCCTCCATGACATTGACGCAAAAGGAATCTTTAATGATGAAACACCACTGACCAAGCAAATAGAAGCAAACATAAACAAATGGAACTACATTAAACTAAGAAGCTTCTGCACCTAAAGAAAGTGACCAAAATACAGAGAAATCCCACAGAATGGGAAAGAATATTTACCCAATACCCATCTGATAAGGGGTTAATATCCAGGATATATAAGACACTAGTAGAATCGTACAAGAAAAATCCTACAGCCCCATCAAAAAATGGGGAGAAGATATGAACAGAAGCTTCCTCAAAAAAAGAAATACAAATGGTCAAAAAGCACATGAAAAAATGTTCTACATCACTAATCATCAGGGAGATGCAGATCAAAACAACAATGAGATATCATCTCACACCACAGAGACCGGCACACATCCAAAAGAACAAAAACAACCTGTGCTCTCACTGGCACAAATATGGGGTGAAAGGGGTTCTCTTTCATTGTTGGTGGGAATGCTGACTTATTGGAAAAAAATATGGGCATTCCTTCAAAAACTAGAAATTGATCTTCCGTATGACACAGCAATATCACTCCTTGGAATACATCCCCAGGGTGCAAAAAAGCACAGTAGAAATGACACCTGCACCTGTATGTTCATGGCAGCACTGTTCACAATAGCCAAAATCTGGAAACAAACCAAGTACCTGAGAACAGACAACCAGTTAAAAAAATTTTGGTCCATCTACTCAATGGAATACTATGCAGCAGTTGGGAAAGATGAAGTCATGAAATTTGCTTGTAAGTGGATGGTCATGGAGAGTATCATGCTAAGTGAAATGAGTCAGAAAGAGAGGGACAGACATAGAATGACTGCATTTATTTATGAAATATAAAATAACATAATATAAGGACAGTGAAAACAAGAGCCAGGAATATTGCCCCATGGTTGGAAGCCTGCCTCATGAGCTATGGGGAAAGGCAGCTGGAATAGAGAAGAGATCAGTAAGTCAATTATGGTTGGAGGAATCGTTTGGGATAGGAGATCTGTGCTTAAAGTAGATAAAGGACCAAACGTAAGAGCCTCTCAGTATCTGTGTTGCAAACCATAAAGTCCTAAAGTGGAGAGAGATTATGGGGGAAATTGTCTGCCATAGAGGCAGAGGGAGAGTTGGGATGGGGTGGGGAGGATACTGGGGACATTGGTGGTAGAAAATGTGCATTGGTGGAGGGATGGGTGTTCGATCATAGTATGACAAACTCAAACACAAAAGCTTTGTAACTATCTCACGGCAATTCAATAAAATTTTTAAAATTTGTTTTAATATAGCATGGATACTTACTAATGCTTTTGTTTGTGCATTCTTCTCTCAGTGAAAATTCCATTTAGGGTCTCCGGGATAACAATGGTAGGATGCATGCCTTGAGATATGAGGATATAATATTTATCCAGGATACTACCCAACCAGCAAGGACTAACCTGCAATTTGGGATCACTAGCAGCACAAGAATATGACACAAAAACTAAGTGTATGGAGTGTGTTGAGCACTTTAACCAAGTGTTCAGACTTTGGTGAGCACTTCAAAGTGAGAGCACCAACCAAGTATGTGCAATTTCTATTAATTGCAACAAAGAGAAGGCAGGTGGGGATAGAAAATGACATATAATGTCGATAACAAGAAAGACCCATAATTCAGTGAAGACTCATCTTTTATGTACTAGAGCTTTCTTGAAAACATTAATTAGGAATCAGCATTATAAAGCTCTGAGTTAATAAGTACAAATCATAGCTTATGCTATCACTTATTTCCATAATATTCTTTATTTTGCAGCCTCTGAAACAATATTTTCTTAGTAAAATAATTCTATACGCAAGTGAGTTTTAAATGAAAGGGATTTTACTGATTATGATTGTCTATGGGAGAGATTTTATGGGGCAGGGAAGAGAATGAATTTAATAAGAATTTGCATTAGGATTATTTAGAAAACTTGTAGTAGGAATGACCGCATTAGACACTTCAAGATTTAGGTAAATTGCTTTGTTTTTCCTAGGAATCTTCTAATAGTGAACACTTAGAAAACAGGAATTTTGAAAAAGGCTAGCAGGTGATGTGCTAAATACATACTAACTTAAATATATACTGCAAACTTTGGAATGAATAATGATCACAACTAATCAAAAATCTGACCATCACTTCGTATGATGACAAATCTAATGATAAAAATGAAAAGAACCTGGTCAATTCCTGAGTTGACACATTGTCTCAACAAGGGTCTAGGGGTTTCAAATAGTTTTTCAAATAGTTTCAATATATATTTTTGTAATTGCTAAATTATAATACTCTAGCATAACCTTCTTGGGTCAAACTACGTTTCTACTCATGCAAATACTCTCAAGTAATTTTTTAAAGCAGGTCTTAGTGCTTGCTATGGGCTGAATTCTACCACTCTTCCCCAAACCCCTGTTGAAATCCTAACTCCAAGGACTAACTAGTTTGAACTTACTACGAGTACTGAGAGAGGTGATAAAAGTGAGTTCATTGGATTAATACAACAAGACTGGTGTCTGTACCAACAAGGGGAATAAAGACAGAAAGGAGCCCATCAGTGATGTGAAGAAACACAGGAAGGATGTGACCAGTAGTGATCTGAAGAGCAAGACCAAGAATACTTACTCCTTTTCCTTATAGCTCTCCGAAGGAATCACCTTGACTTCAGTCTTATTTAGATATTCAGAATATCTTATATATTAGAATATATTATATATATATATAAACTTAAAATATTCAGAACTCTAATGAAATAAATTTACTTTATGCAAGCCACCCAGTCTGTAGTACTTCCACACTGGAGCTGAGAAAAATACATCCGACAATCCCATCAAAGAATGAATCCATTCATTCAAAGGTCCCAACTGGAAACTTACCCCTTCATTCATCTTTTTCTTTGTCAAGGTGTTTGGCGTCAGAAATACGTGAAATATAAGGCCTCAACCTGTGAGTTCAATTTATGAGAAGGTGAAACAGAAACACAGAGCCGGTGAGGTTTGATTTTTCTCATGATTTATTCATATTCAGATTGAAAAAGGAGCCTTGGAGCCGCAAGATACGCTAATTGGCACATTTGCTTTATTATTTACTTATTTATTTATTTATTTTAAAACAAACTGGGTTTTTTTTAATTTTTTCCTTTTGTTGTTCATTCCATCACATTGAAAAGGAAGCAAAAGAAAAATGGTTTTGAATTCACTCGATATTTTGGACTCCTCAGATGAACGGAACATTGCACACACACTTGGAACAGAGAGAGAGAGAGGGAAGTGGACTCCCACAGGGCCACACGCACCAGATCAAAAAACTTGGATACAGTGCAAGAATTTCCCGAAATGATTGAATCATCATTACCAAAAACTCGCCATAACAACACCAAGAAACAAAAAATATTTAAGTCACACTGTTTGACTTGGGATCTTTCCTGCTTTTTTTTTTTTTAAATGTTTGCCACACAGAGAGAAGTAGGGCTAGTAGGAGGGCAAGGACAGACTCACACGTGTGAGCAGGACAGGAAGGGAAACTTCAGAGTGGATTTTTAGAAGAGGGTTGGGGGAGAAACAGGATTCAGGAAAGGGGAGGGCAGGGGCGTGGAAAGCCATTTCTTAAAGTTCAGGCATGTTCTTGGTCCGCCTCACGTTCTTCTCCTTTACCCTCATCCTGTCGGGCACTTTCCTTAGGTTTGGTTTCATCTACAGCTTCTAAAGACAAAAAGAGATGGTTTGGGGTGGGGGAAAAAGAGAGTTAGTACTTTGTGTGATTGGCTTACATGATAATTCAATGCATTACTTCTTTTTATACTATTACAGGAGAAAATAAGATAAAAGATCATTACTATTACAGTAATATTTTAAGGTAATATTAAGGTAATTTCAGTAATATTTTAAGGTCAGAGGTTAACACCAAGAGGCTGGCTAGGACACATATAGAAATGCTCAGGAACAAACTATAACATTAGGGGCAGATATCTGCTAAATAGAAATTGATAGTCATTATAATCAGCATTATAACTATGGTATCTTCTACTGTCTCACGACTGACTCCACAGAGATGTCAAACTGCCAAAACCTTCAGGTACACTGTGGCTTGGGGGTTGAAAACTCTGGTCCATCTTGGAGTCAGGGCAGGTGCCTTCCATACTTCCAGAAGCCCTGATAGCTACACCCATGTTCCACTGCTGCTACCATGTAAACTCACTCACTGCCCAGTTAAATATTCTGAATTTTCTGGAGCATGCAGCCACATTAGTGGCAAAGTAACATTTCCAAACTCTATAATACTAAGAGTCCTGTAGGTGCACAGAAGATTGGATGGGAAACATAACATAGAAGATAACTAAGCTCATTCAACAAAAGCATTAACACAGAAGGCTCAACTAGTAACAAAGGCTCAGTTAAACCCTCCAACAAGGACTTAATGTCCCCATGGTAAAATACAACAATTTTCACAGATTTTCTTTTATTGAAGTATATTTTGGTAATTCCATTAGCCATTTAGTAGTAATAAGTAATATAAAATAAAATATGTTGGGCCTGCTACAGGGGCAGGCTTGAGGAATGGTTGGGAAATTGTAGACAATGGTAGAGGGAGGATGACAGTGGTGGTGGCATTGGTGATGGAATATAGAATGAAGTAACAAATGCATCATGAACAGCTTTGCAAACCATGCTGTTTAAATAAAGTGGGAAAATGAATAAATAAAAATAAATAAAATCATTGCATCTACACACAGGATCTTTTAGTCACTGTAGACTAATTGTGGCAGACAGTTTTTGTATAAAACATTCATTTTAACCCCCTTTGATCTTATTTCTATTATTATAAAAAACATATCAATTACTGCTCAAATTGTAACTAGGGTATCTAGATAACTCAGTGACTAATAATCATAGAAAGAATTCCCTGAGGAAGACTCCAGGGAAGTTGTTTTCCCTTTACTTTCCTCTACTCTTGATGACCGAGACAGCAAACAATATCTAGTAGTGTAGGTACTGTCTTGTTTCTATGAAGACAAATAAGTATAGTAAGGATGTTAAAAAAAATGATAGGGAGAATCCTATTACTTGTGACCATGCTATTCCTTGATAGCTTTTCCTGAGTCTTTCTCTTTGCAAGTTTTAGGCTTTGAGTAGATTTTCAGTATCTTGTAAACACATTTCAATAAGATATACTTGTTCATAGACAAGTGTATATTGCATAACAATATAAGCATTTTTTTTGACACTTCTGCCTGGTTTCTTTATAGAACTCAGTCAATTGATGTTACGCCACTAGAAAAATACCTATCAGCTGGTAAAAGGATAATGTAATTAATCAGAAGTCACCTTTGTTATTAAACATAAAATTCCCTGTTGGGTTTGTTTCCCCAAGAACGACCTCCAGATTCAATAATTTGATAGGTCTCACAAATCTCAACATTCAGTCACATGAATGTGTATTTCTATCACAGTGACAATATATGAAACAAAATCAGTAAAGATAAAAGTTGCTTAGGACAAAGTTTAGAAGAGAACTTCAAGAGTTCTCTTCCCATAGAGTTACACATGATGCATCTAATTCTTCCAGCAATGACATTACTAGTGAAGAACTGCCCTAAGTTTACAAGTCCAGAGTTTTTACTGGGAATTTGGTTACCTTCTGCCTCACTTATACCAAATCTAAATTCAAGAATGAAAATAGAAGTTCAGCATTATCTATTATATGTACAAAGAAGCACATTTAAAACATATAGTTTGATATTGCCAAAAAAATCCTCCCTAAATACAAGTTCCCAAAGGGCAACCAAGGGTGAATTTTACAAGCAGGCTATGCTAAAATCAGATAAATTATGTACTAGGGTATTTTATGACATCATTAGAAGAATACATAAAAACGTATGTCTCTTTAGAATTATTCAGCTAAATATTTATATTCAGATATATATTCAAATAAGAGCACAATTGGTAGAAATTTTATTTTCATTATTTCTCCCCAAGGGCTGGAGCGATAGCACAGCAGGTAGGGCATTTGCCTTGTATGCACCCAACATGGCTGACCCGAGTTCGATTCCTCTGCCCCTCTCAGAGAGCCCGGCAAGCTACGGAGAGTATCTTGCCCACACAGCAAAGCCTGGCAAGCTACCCGTGACATATTCAATATGACAAACACAGTAACAAGTGTCACAATGGAGACATTACTTGGTCCAGTCGAGCAAATTGATGATGAACAACAGGAGGACAGTGACAGTGACAGTGATTTCTCCCCAAAACTTTATAATATTTTCTCGAATATCTGTAGTGGCATAACATTTCATCTCCTTAAAATATAACGCAAAATATTTTTTATTTAGGTGCCATAATTTATAATATTGTTAATAGTGATGTTATAGGCATTTAATATCACTTCAGTACACCTATTATAATTTTGGATTTTAGAATCAGTAGTCCCTAGATTATAAAACTTTGGTGTACTAACAGATCATTCAAATTTCTACCAGAAGAATGCTTCCAAATTTACATCAGTGTGGTTGTGTTAGAGCAATCTGGACATCTTTCTGAGAATCTACTCATTTCCCTAGCTGAGCCAAGATTTTTGGTAGACCAAAATCTGGGCTTACTATTTTTGTCATATTCCAATGAACTACGTAATTAGCACTCTCTTCAAACTATGAAAGAAACAAAATATTGATTTAAAGCACATAGGAGCATATGAAGGAATAATTTTAGATGCAAAAAGGATTTCAAACTTCTTTTGTAAAATAAAAAAACTTGGTAACTACGATGTATGATTTGATGGAGACTTGGAAACACAAGAAAAAAAGGTAGAACCAGGATAGATAAGGTGAAAAGAATTGCATATTTGTAAAATAATAAGAACAAATGCAAAAATGGAAAATAAAAAGAGCAAAGATTCATATAATTCTGAGTGAAAGCCACGTATTCTATATGTGTTGAACTGGGGTAAAAGAATCCACCCAAACTCTTTCCCCATATATGTCACATATTTTCTGTTCTTTCGCATGAACCCAGAAGATAAGGTGAAACTTGGCACATGTCTACTTATTGTGACAGGAAGCCATTGTTGTTAATGCCCTGTTTAAAAAAAATCTTCTTTATCTTCATAGCATCACCTTCAAAAGCCCCAAAGTATTTGAAATATAAAATGACTTGTCTGTTGGGTCAATAACTTGTTTTGGGGAACCTGTCAATGAGCCACATACTTATTTTTTAGGTACCAAGAAGTCAAACTAAAAAGAAAAGTAAAAAAGAGCTTGCTTTCAGTTCAAACTTTCATAATATACTTTAAAAATAATGAAATTCATGATTAAGAATACCAACATTAAGACAGACTTTTTGGATCATCTAATCACCAGACCATAAATAATTAATGGGAGCAACAATACCTCTTTGCCCAGAGTTGAGTCTCCTCTACCTAACATAGAATCTAGTGTTTGGAAGGTACTCAATAAATATCCGTTAAGAGGGCCAGACCAATAGCACAGAGTATAGTGTGTTTGCTACCAGGTTTAATCACAAGCATCTCATTTGGTCCTGCCAGGAATGATCCTTGAGCACAGTGCCAGGAGTAAGTTCTTAGCAATGCCAAGTGTGGCCCCAAACATCACCAACATCATCATCATTAATATAATAATCACAATTATTCTTATTTGTTGAACGAAAAACTGAATAAACCTCATTTGTTAAAATATGCACAAACTCAAATCACTTACATAAGGATATTTTTCCTTAACCATACAGTTTTCTTAGGACCTGGTCTGAACAAAAACCTAGATCTATCTCTCCAATTTTTTAATTTATCAGAAGACAAATTAAGGAAGGCAAACTGAAACCAGAGGAAGACAAATTGAAATCTTTTTCACTGGCTGGCACTAGAGACAAAGCAGCTAGGATCCACTAGTTTTTAGAAACACAAAATTAAGATTAAGCACAAATTGTCTCAAAGTATTAATCATAGCCATAAAATGAAAACTTATGAATTCCAGATAGATGACTACAAAAGGAAACATGTCAGTTAATAGGGACTGAATTCAGTCATATATATATATATAATTTTGCACACTGTCTATTATATGAGATACAAGTAATTTATTTGCTTTATATTATTAGATGAAGAGAAAATCAGTAGAAATAAAATGTGTCAAATCAGTGAATTTGGCGAAATTTTTATGGTCACCAGAAAATTTTAGTAGAGAAAATAAGGTGTGTGGAAATAATATAAAATAATAAACTTTCACAAACAGGTAAATTAAGGTTCAGAATTTTATTTAAAAAGGTGTCTACTGGGATCAGTGGTGATGGAGAATGGCACTGGTGGAGGGATGGGTATTCGATCATTGTATAACTGAAACCCAAGCACAAAAATTTGTAAATCTATACCTGTACCTCATGGTGTTTCACTAATAAAAATTTTTAAAAACGGTGTCTACATGAAAATCAGAAAATAATAATCATATAGAACTACATATCTGCATTTAGCTAGAGTCACTTTGATAGGATATTATGCATGCCTTTAAGCAAAGACAAAAGGAAACAATACCTGACATATATAAATGCATACATTTGAGCCCAAAGTCCACCAAAAACTTCCATGTATAGTCTGCTTGCCATTTCTTTCCACAAAGGCCAACTCTAGGTAAATCAATTTTGTTTATAAACTATGTCAATTCCACAGTTGCATGTCTATATTTTCTTACCTATTCTAG